TGCTGCGTTCCGAAAACCTGTTCACACTGCGAGGAGGAGTGGCAGAAACCTGTCCTGTGACGATCGACTTTCAAAATCTCCATTCTTATATGTGAACAGAAGCTCTATCAAGTATGATTTTCTTTTCTGCGCAAGCGCTATCCGGTAGTGTGAATCATTCTCGTCCCCAGAACCCGTCGTTTCTTGGTCACAACAAATTAAGCCGAGTGGCTCTGGGGACGAGAATGAGTGTGAACATAACCTTGCTCCAGAACAGGCGTTATTTGTCGCTTTTTTCAGGGGAGCGAGGGCAAGCTCGAGGCGAGCATGGAGCGATCCACGCCCGCATCGCGCTTTCTTTGCTCGCCTGAAAACCCCCCAAAAATAATGCTTGTTTTGTATGCTACTGAACACGTAGCTCTTAGTAAAAACGTGAGGTGCTTATGGTAGCGTTTCACTGTTAGATTCGTATTATAATACGAAATGAATCATAGCGTGTATATAGCATTAATACATGAATATCTTCAGATCATTATAAAGAATTGTCTTTGATAATGTTTAAGCCTTGTCTCGTTAATCTTTTTCGGTTTTGTCGCATCGCTGATTCCGTGAAAAATCAGTGCCTGTTTTAGTTACGCTGGAACAGACATACCCTTACTATTAAATTTGGTGATCTCAATTACGTTCCAACAACTCCACACAGACACGAACATCTATTACGGACAGTCTGTTCTACTGGTCCCAAGAAAGCAAACCTTCTCATAATCCCTTCCTCCTCGGGACCGACTTTCGCACCCTTGACCTGGGACGAACGCTCGATAAAGTTTTTTTCTCTTTTTTTTTTGTGCAAAAATCTGCTTGTCTTTATACCTTATTATGAAAAATTTAAAAACGTTTCATTTAAGTTGCGTTAATTTTTGTTAACGTCAATTTCCACAGTCTTGACTGCCATTATTTTGGCCCTAAATTCTCGATACACTTTTGACGTTCTTGCCACCTATGAAAGAGAAGTATTTATTTAGGGGTGGAGATCCGCCAATATCAGTCAAACTATGAAGAAGTCTCGAAGTGACTAGTTTTCTTTGCTTGACCTTTTTTTTTTACGCATGGGGGAAGAAACACATGAACACGAATAAAGTTTCCATTTCGGATTATACGTTTAACTTTGTTCCAGTTGTCTCAAAAGGTCTTGTTTCTTTGTGAACGTCGCGTTAATATATTTCATTTTGAAATGTTATCCTCTCTTTCGCATTAACTTCCTTTGTAAGAAAGTCGTCGTCCCTTAAGTTCGTGTTAATTTCCAATACCTTAATTTCAAGGAGCGTTAATTTCCTGTAATAAGGTAGTATCTTTCCTTCTAGGATTTTGGCGCTATCTACTAACAGGTTCTAAGCAAGGGATTTTAGACAACCGAACACTGCCCATAACGAACTTAGAAGGTTTGAGACAGATATCGTCACTCTCCAGGAAACCAGAATGACACGAGACTCGCATCTTCTGTCCTTTCGATTGTCGAGCGGGGTAAGGCGCCAAACCAACAAACAGTTCGGGAGAACGTAGTGCAGGCTTGCTGTCAAAGTTCCGTCATGCCGGCGCACGAATGCAAAGTATCTAACTTCGAAGACCCCTGTGCTAAGGACTAATTCCCCAAAGAAGACCCTAGCTGTCTTCATTAGTAGTTTGAGGCTAATGCAGAAGTGATGTTACCTCCCAGTGAGAAGTCCGTTAGGATGCAAATCGTTACAATCTTCCCAGAAACTTACTACAGTTACTAGCACTCAGGGCTGCCCATAGAACAACCAATTAAGCTCGTTGGTCCAACGGTCACGGGACGAAAAAATGGATTTGCACAAACATGCTCCTTGCAAATATGTCGCAAATTTCAAATACTGAGGAGTAGATATATGGCAAACATGGGAAATGCCACATTTGCCTAGTTATTGACACCCCCCTGTGTTTTGGTATACAAATGTGACTTCTCACAGCCCCTACCCCGTTGCAGTCTATTTTAGAGCCAATCTTAGACACTTTTGGGCAAATCTAATTTTCGCGATCCCAACTTAGTCACTTTCTGTTTATGCATTTATAGAGCCTCCTGAAATGAACTAACACATTTGTTGAACTTAATTAATCTAGTAAAGATCTTCCCATTTTGAAAATTCTAATTTCCGGGATATTCTTACCCGCAAAATCCCGAAATGTTCGACCCCATTCTAGTAACTCTATTGACAATGCAGTCCAGTTGTGAAAATGAACCCTATCCAGGGGCACATTCCCATAAGCCTGTTACTAGGAAGTACCCCCCCCGGAAGACATTGCCTAGACATTGAAAACAACAATTCGGCATTCTAACATTCTAACGATTTTCTGAAACCAGCGCAGGCGCTGGAGATAGCTGGAATCCCTCTGTGGTCTGTATATGCGTGCATTTTGACTGAGCTATGTCTCATGAGTCATGCCCGGGAGGGCACCGTATTTCCTCGAATAATAGCTGTCCCTCGATTAATCACCTCCCTCGAATAATCGTCCCCCTTTGACGGAAATGTTTAAAATAATCGCCTCCCTCGAATAATCGCCCCTTTCCCCCAACCCTATAGGTTATACCCGCTAGGGATACCCAAAGCAGTAAACTTCGAGTATACTCACTGAAGTGGAGTCTGATCCAGCAAAACTGATCAGTGACTCTTCAAGCTCTGACGCCCAAGACATTGACATTTAAAAAAGTAATCAAGGAACCAAATTTGGAACATGTTCAGTTTATTTATTTTTTTTGATTTAATGGGAAAATAAAACAAAATATTCCGGACACGACTTCTAGTGAGCAATATTTGAAATAATCGCCTCTTTTTGCTGCAAAAAAGAAATAATTTCCCTGGCTATTATTCGAGGAAATACGGTAATCAAGAAAGTTTTTTACGGGGAAGCTCCGCCCTAGTCTGCTACACAGCCGTTTTTAGTGTCGTCACGCAACGCTCCTCCTCAGGAGCGTTGCGTGACGACACTAAAAACGGCTGTGTAGCAGACCAGCTCCGCCCCGACCCTTACCTTTTTATATACCATTTTTGGCAGAAAAGGTAGCCTGCGTTGCAGCCGTGTTTATAATACAGTAAAACCTCTATTAAGCGGACACCTTCGGGACCTTCCCAAGTGTCCGCTTAATAGAGGTTTGTAAAAATTGCGCAATGTTTGTTAACGATCATGACATTCAGTGGTGACTATGATTAAGTTCCATGTTGTTGAGGAAACTAAGGAAGCTAAGGAAGGTGTGTTGTACTTTGCGCAAGAGTTTTAGGTGAACTTTGATCGCTGATGACAATTATACTGCCGCATATCGGTCTAATCTACAGCTTATTGACAGCTAAATGTATTGATTTATCTTTATCAGACTACAGTACGTATTTCAAGGAAGTAATCCAATACTACTATTGTCAATTCAGTCCGTTGTCCGCTTAATAGTGGTTTTTAACAATAGAAATTATCCAAATACGATTTATTTTAGTATCCGCGTCGGCTTAATAGGGGTTCGTTATAAAGGAAAATATAAGACGTTAATTTCGGGACCCGGCTTGGTGTCCGCTTAATAGAGGGTGTCCGCTTAACTGGGGATCCGCTTAATAGAGGTTTTACTGTCTGAATAAATTACAAAACCTGAACGTTTCCCCGTCTTTCTCACAGCGATAAAACGCATGTGTAAGCCTTTTGGGCCTTTCAATCGACCGAAATGACAGATTTCTCTACCCTTTCATATACTTCAACTAGTGAAATCCTTACCCTTTCATATACCTGAGGCCTGTGAAAGGAACTCCTTTGGGCGGGGCCTTCTCGTATATATCGGGCCGTTATAAGGAGTACCCCCGGGGGTTCATGGCTGTATCCCAAACGACCTTCTCTACGAAGCCTTAAAGTCACAAGACAACTTACAGGTTGATCTCAAGGTTACTGTCATGCTGAACTACTGAAATCAGTTCATAAAGTCCTACACGGAAATGCTGTCTGCAATCTCCCTTTCCCCTATAGGGAGGGGGGGGGGGGGGG